AGGTCGTATTAGGTTTTTAATTTGGTGGCCCACAATTGTCAAAAACACTACTCAAAATATTTGCTACAGATGCGAAAAATGCAGAAAATCTAACTATCCAAATTCATTTTTATGACGGACGGAAGTTGCAGAGGCTGCAAACGTATAAAACGTGAGGTCGTATTTAGTACACATATATATTGGGGGCGCTGGGGACCCAACCAGAATTAATGATATTCATAAATTATATATATATATATATATATATATATATATGGCTCTGTCAAGCTTTCGAGCGAGTGCATATGGATTGTCCAAATCTGATATCCAGTACTCTTAAAGTTTGGATGGGATGGTGGAATTTTTTTCCTTTTCAAAACCAAAAACCCAAGAGGAGAAATGCCAGCGTGGATCAAACTCTGTGAGGGGCGCTAAAGGAGCGGAGCTAAGTTGGTTTTGTTTTGATATTCCTGACACATTCAGTGATAGACGGCAATAACTTACACACCTCTTACCCTAAACAGATCTAAACTGTATTTATTACAAAAAGACAAAGCTGGCTATGTTTTACAGCTATCCTATTTCTTTTTTTGGCTCGATATAATGAGGAACGTTAATGATTCGTTTAAGCCTTCACCATAACGTTAACGTAGTCATACTAGTAGCGAATAGTTCATAATGACATTATTGATCCGGAAAATACGAATCTGCAAATCTGTTGCTAACTTTACTGAACTTCATATTTATATCTTATTTCAAGCTACGAAAATTTGAAATTACAAATTAACAGAACAAAACCGATATATGATCACAAATCCATCAGTTTCCCCTGGCTGTCCTTAAAGCACTGTCATGCATGTTTCCTCGTTGGTAAGTAAGGCTATATTTCATTGCACACCAATTAATCTATCAGGCTTTTTGGCTAAAAATAGAGAAATCACTGTTTCATTTATTATTATTAGATTATTTTTAAATTTCACCTCTCCTGCTGAGCATGAGCTAAGCTGTTAAATGGTTAACTTAGCGTATGAGACGGCTAGGCTAAGATAGCTTCAATTTTAATTGATTTATTCTCGAATCGGTTGCCTATTATGTGGTGAATATACCCCTGTAATGCATACTGCAGTCCTTTTTTGTCTGGCTTTCTCAGATATCTCACATGTTTCGCCAAAAATGACATTATATCCCTGGCAATGTCTGAAACCGGCGCACACACATTGAAAAAGCCGTGCCAGGCATGAAAGCTTGTCAGGCGTAGCAACAGTAATTAAAGAGGGCGGGGTTTAGCGAAGGGTCCATTAGCACATCTAACATCACTGAAAGAGGTCTGTCTTATGATGTTTTTTCGTAGTGGTTTATCAGAGCCACTATACTTAATCATGCCTTTGCATGAACCCCAGTGGACATTAGAGCACTATATGGACATTAAGACTATCTGGCTCTGATTTCACTGTCTATGTTGCAGAGGAAGAAGAAACCCCTTAATTATTATTATTTTTTTTCATTTTTTTAGAGGGTGGGGGTGTTTGGGTGAGGACAGCAAGATCCACTGGCAAGGGGGCTTGCTGCTAACTCCACTATTATGCTGGCATCACCATACTCCTGTCTCCAGTTCATCTGTCTACCACCACACAGTAACGGCACAAGATGGCAGCCTCCAGTCCACCAGCTCACAAAGTGACCACAACCAGCCCTCCAGCTCACAAAATGGTAAGCACCAATCTGCCACTAGCTCACAAGAGGGCTTCCTGTTCCGAGTCTGTTCCTGCCTTAGTTCCTGTCCCTGTTCATGAAAGGCCATTCAGATCCTCAGAAATTCCTTGAATGGCCAGGAGCGCCAGATCCTCCCCAATGGCCACTTTGGGTTCAGATCCCTCTTGAACATCCAGGGGCGCCAGATCCTCCTGAATTCCCCAACTGGCCAGACGCACCAGACCCTCCCAAATTCCCCGAATGACCAGGGGTGCCAGATCTTCCCAAATTTCCAGAATAACCAGGGGTGCCAGATCCTCCCAAATTTGCTTATATTGGGTGGATATCAAAAAATGCAACAAAAAAAAAATAATGATGATAACAATAGTAAAAAAAAGTGTCACTAAATATACTTGGCCAGTCGTTATTATACCTGGGCGGCCCACCCAAATAAAGTTTATGTGTGGGAAGCACTGCAGAGAAATAAACATTTAAGTTTGAAGGGGCATATAGGTACTCAGTGAAATTTTAAATGTCATTTTTACCTTACATGCATTTTTTAAATGTTTTGTAAATAGCTTTTTTAAACAGTAGTGCGAAGAATAATTATTTCTCATTTGGTTGTTACTTTGTCAGTCATGAACAATTTGAGAAAATCTCATGACCAATTCTCACAACCATTTTATTTGGGTGTGTGTATAATTATTTTAAAATATTGCTAGATTACATACACATTTATAGTGTTTATAGAAACATGATTGTCTTTTATAGTGATATAACATATTGGGCCCTATCATAAACCCGGCGAAATGTCGCGCAAGGCGCAAGCAATAGTCTTTTGCTACTTTAAGCTTGGCGCAAGGGTCATTTTGAGGTGTTGCGCCACACTGTTTAAATAGCAAATGCATTTGCGCTCAACTTTGCGCCCATAGGCGTTTTGGTCTAAAAAAGCAGGTGTTTTGGCACGTTGCTATTTTGAGAAACTGTAAATAGTCTGTTCTTTAGACCAGAACAAAGTCAGTCTAATGTCTGGCGCAAAGTGCGCCTGGCTTTCACACTACACACAAGATGTAGAGCAATACGCAAATATCTTTACATATGAAAAATATATAATATCTTAAAGATATATATAATAAGGATATATATATATAGGATATAAATATAAATTATTAAAATATTACAAAACATATTAATTCCTAGCCTACATGAATTTAAAAACCACCGCCTTCATACTTTCTTCATCTCGGGAGGCTTTTTAAGTTCATTCAATTTGCTTTTGTATAATGTTATTATTATTAGCAGTATTATTTATTATATCCTTGTTTATATTTGTTTTATTAAAAACAAGCTTAGATTTGTCCACCTGTCAGGTTTTAGACCATATGGGGCATAGCAGGTGTATTTGGAAATAACTCAGTATTTTGACCACACTTTGCTATTATTAATAATTTATTCGTTTGCTGGAAATTAGAACTGAATTTAGAAATAGTTTTGAAACAAACCTTTGCACTTAACAAACGAAATTAATTATTTATAGGCTAATTGATGTCTGTGCGGTAAGGTTTTCCTAACCAGGAGAGCAAAAGCGAAAGTGAACTTACTTACTTACTTATGTCATGTTAATAGCAATGCGCTTATGGCGCGATGCAGCTGGCTCTTAAAGGTAATGGGAGATGAGACTCTGATTGGTTTATTCTCAAAACACACCTATAACTCATTAAGAAAATAAACTCAACCCTTTTAGACCATGCGCCATGGCGCAAAGTGGATTTTCCCGTCCTTAAGTAAGAAAAATGCGTTCTGACACGCCCTGAAAGCGTTTGCGCTCTGCGTTTTGCGCTCGGCGCATGGACGGTCAAAATAGAGCTAAACTATAAAAACTATAAACTAAACTATACTATACTATACATAAACTATAAAATCGTGTCACACATCTTTTTTTTACTCTGAGTTGGTAAGCTAACTGACAGTTGTCTATCTACCTTTTCCACTACTTTGCTAGCCACCACTACTTTCCTTATTACATTTTAAATTAAACTGAGATGGCAAAAACATTTTGTTTTTGATAAGTGTTGATCCTACCCCTGATGTGGCTCACACTGATCAACACCTCTGGTGGGAGTAATAATGTGTGCCACACTAGTCTGATAGTCAAGTGAGACCCATGTATGTTTCTTTGATTATGCCTGCCTGCTACTCTGGGAGTTTTTAAAAGTAAAAATTGTACACCGAATTTTGGAACTGGCCATTGGTCACCAGAAGTGCCGCTACGAGTTGCTGATGCCATTGCCCTCTACCTAGCAAGGTAAAAAATGATTCACAATTAATCTTTCAACAAATTAATATTCCCTATACACTTGCATTGCTTGAAGCAATTAGCAATTTTAAAACAAACCCAGCTGCTTTGATGCTGTAATAACCAATAGTTTTTCCTCAATGTCCACTGACATTGAGCATTATATTTACTTGTGAGAGAGTATTTGAGGCGAAATGTGATTGATTGCTCCTATTTGTATACTGACCAATGGCATTTTTTTACTCAATTGACAAAAAGATAAAAGAATAGCAATTGGCAAACAGATTGGAAAAAGTTCCCTTTAAAAAAAATATTTAAAATGTGCATTTAAAATAATTAATTAAAATACATTTTTATAAATCAGCTTTTTTAAAACATAAATTAAATAAACTTTAAATCTACAGCTATTTTAAATTTTTAGCTGTACATAAAAACGTATAAATACATTTTTGTAAGAATTTATTTAGATATTGTTTTATTCATTTACATTGTAAATGGAAAATAGTTTAAAATTGAAAATAGAAAAAGTTTAAATATAAATATAATGTGTTGATGAATGCTGATCAATGTTTTGTTTTGTACTTTTTATTATTTGATTATTGATGTTTTAAAACAAAAAAATAATAGAGTTATACTTACTGTTTTTAAACATTAAAAATAAATGCATTGTTTTACTGAATTTTGTTATTAGTTTAAAAACACTAATCAAATAGATTTATTCATATATGTCTGTTTACTTGTACAAATTTAAACTATTTCTATACATTTCTATTAAATTAATAATTTGATTCTCCAATTTATTTTAATTGGGGTTCCTGGTCCTCCAAAAGCTGACTTCAGGGGCCATTAATTTGTGGTCGAGTTTTGATAAAGCTTATTTAAACACCAATAATTTAATTAGGTTCTGACGTTGCCCAGATGTTGATACGCACAGTTTTAATCGTCTTCAAAAAGCCATCAAATATCTTTGAAGCCTGAAAAGCCTTGATGATTTGTTGAGATGTTGGTTAAAATGTAATTATAATTTACTCACCTAGAATCGAACTTCCGCCCGTCCTTAAATGTTCCGTTATAGTCATACCGAACATAGTCTCCGATCTGAACCTCTCTTGGACAGAACGCTGGTATAAAGTAGCGATCAATAATTACATCTTCTAACTGACAACATACAGCATATATGACAACGAAGAGAACTGTTAGGGCTGGAGTAAGTGCCATAGCACAGAGGTTTTGAACAAGATGTAAGATGATGAACACGTAGCCTATGCTGTGGTTTAAAAATCAAAGAACACAAAAACCAACCGCGCGGTCCTAAACTCCATCTAATATCATAGCCACGTTTTGATAAATGGTTTTAAAAATACAATAGTAGGCAATTCTTCAACTACGGGCACTTTTAGCCTTGTGAAGTAAAAAAAGAAAACTTGTTAAAAATTAACGTAACATAGCCTCATACGTTTAAACAATTTGTCTAGTTTTAGGATCTGTAAAAGGACAAACTTAGATAAGAAGAAAACATTTTTTCCATCGTGAACTGAACAAATGTCAACCGCATCTCAATACACAGCTCATTTCAAAATTAAATAAATTATGGCAGTCAAACGTTGTCTAAGATAATTTTTGTATCTAGTTTAACCAACGGTTCCACTATAATAATTATATTTGTCAATGAAATAAATTAGTTGTATGCTAAATTGTACGCCTGTCATACTCTAAAATTTTATATTACTTTGGTTAAGAGCTTATTAGAAAATAAACTGAATTTGTAATTTAAATAGAGCATGAACTAATACATTGTATATACACTTTTAATGTGTGATGGAATCTTTTTAAATATTTTTCAAAAAAGTGTGTGGTGATGCAAATGAGAGTGGTGGAAAAGACATTTCAACAGTTTATATTGATATAAGTCTCACATTAATAACTATAAAATATTTAACTTATTTCACTAGTGCTAAATTAGGATACATTAATACTAGATAAATAATATTTTAAAAAGTTATTTTCATTTTTGAAGTTTAAAACTCTTGGTGTACGAAAAGGTAAAAACAGTGATTTTGACACCTAAAAGGAGGTTAAATAATATGAAAAAAATATAATAGAAAGGTAGTCAATTTTTTTAAGTAGGTTTTATTTTTAGTTTGACAAAGAAAGAGGAATTTGAACAAAATTATAAATATTTTTGGATATATGATTAAAGGACATTAAAGCGCCCAAAATTGAAGAATTACCCAAGTATTCTGTCATTGCAATGCAAGTCTCCGTTTAATCCACTACAAGCATTGCAAATAATATATTTTTGAATGCCGTATTGTACTCTCAAGTTCTTTTTAGCAGGACCATTATATATATATATATATATATATATATATATATATATATATATATATATATAAACAGGCCATGATATAACAGGACATATTTACCCATGTGTAACAATAGGACAAGAAATTGAAAACGACTTGAAATTGAAAAATAGTAAATTATCACAGAATATAATTTAGGAATGAAAACTGAAAGATGACGGGCTTTCAGACCCAGAGAAGACATCCCTCGGTTCAGATCAGACTTTATGGGACATGCAAAGTTTTCCAACACCATAAACAACAGAGGCGCGCCACAGATTTCCTACGTGCAGTCTGATGTGGTCTGCTCCAATAGACATACTGTACGCAAAGATCTGTGCATAATAAGAGGAACATGGTCGATACAAAAACGTATTTTTTCGTATTTTTAAGTATCGCATATTCTTCCTCTTTTGTGAAGGCTCAGTATGAGAAATACAGCTTTAAAAGCTTTCCCATGAACGACCTCATGCCACTGGAGTCTGCGTACGGACATGCGCTAGAGATGTATGCTACTCAGGACTGGAAGCAAAGTCTTACATATCTGGAGCTAAGCCTGCGACTCCATCGTCTGCTGAGAGACAGCGAAGCATTTTGCAGTAGTAACTGTAGCACTGTGTGTAGTGAATATGAAAATAACAGCACGGGGACTACGTTCAGGATAATGGAACACATCATATTGCGAGCCGCGTGCCTTAAAAGGTGCAAAACAAAATTTCCCGTGTTTTCCAAATCGTATCCCAAACGAGAAACTTTGGCTGCCTTTGAAAAGAGGATACCCTACCGGTATCTTCAATTTGTCTACTACCAGGTAGGAATTCTTACATTTCTTGGAACTGCGTTGGGGCTAAATGAGTCAAAGAAGTGAGATAACCCCCAAAGTTTTTTTTTTTTTTTTTTTTTTTTTTTTTTTTTTTTTTTTTTTGTTGAAGTAAGCACGTGCCCTCAAATGCCACGTATACGCAGACCACGTTCAATAAATATAATGTAAAAGCTATGAAAATTTAAATGGGTGAAGAATAGCTGACTGGAAAAAAAACAACTTTACACATTTTACCACTTTCATTGGTACTTCCCTGATTACATAAATTAAAAATCAAATATCAAATAAAGAAATTTCTAACTTGCACATTTTTTTTGTTGATAAACAATTACAAGTCTTTCCAAAATACTAGCCATTGCCTGTGAAAGCTGGCCATAAAAAATGTAACTGGAATTTTGTTAACAGAAACAAAATCAACAAAACGTCTTTGCCTCCCAGAGTATTAAATAGATATAATTAAGAAATACATTAAAATTACTTTCTTTATTCTTCATAAATTCTATCAACCATTTAATTTTAAATGTGTCATTAAGAGTATTATAATCTAAGACCTCCTATCACCTCCAATAATGATGTATATGCAGATCAAGATATATCTTCTGCCTGTGACAAAAATACTTTGCCAAATATAGATACTTCCCTCATTAACCATATATTAAGATTTTTTTTTTGTTTTCACAAAAATTGGCTCAAAATTTAACTGACTTAGTTTTATGAGTGGATGACATGACGTGCGTTTTTAAAGGTGCAGTAGGTGATTGTCTTCAGAAAATTGTTGTGCTGGTTGAATGTCACTTCACAGTTCAATAGTAATGATTACAAATGTGTTTATATGTATTTTTATATTCTGGGTAAAGCATAAAATTAAAAAATGTTCATCCATTTAAATATTGTCGGAACGACATCTCCCATTCTTCTGATAACCACCTCAGACTGTCAGCAAATGTACCTTTGATTCGGACTTCTGCGCATCTGTTCAGGCAGATCCGCCATTCGCGCGTGCTCGTCTGCTAGCGCTGCGCGGTCACGAGGCAGACCGAGAGAAATCAAATGCTGAATTAAAAACTTTTAAAAACCTGTATCAATATTGGAGTTACTTTAGCACGATGGAGGTAGGACGACACCATGGCTGAAGAATTATTGTTAGACAGGTAATGTTCTGTTTTAAAACTATTTTAGTCAGGCTAAGCTTGTTAGATTGTGTTCTGTTATGAATGACTTGTAAGCACAGACCAGGGGTCCGTTCTTCGTACGTGGATTACTCAGTTAGCTGGATTTGGATATTGACGATTTGACACGATCCAGGATCGTTTCGTTCTTCAAAGCTAATCCGAGAGTTGTTGTCATAGCAACAGTTCTGCTAGGTCAAACCTGATCGGGAGCAGGTTCAAGTCATATAAACAGGATTAGATCGGCTTAGTTCAAGCAAAGATAATACAGAAAGTATGTTCCGAATTCTGATATTTTATTACAGTAGTAGTTATATACACTTGGGAAAATGGTAATTTTTTAAAACTATATATATAAAATTATAGTCATTAATAAAATAAATAAAGTTATACATATTAATAAAACGTATGCAATCTGCACCCTCGAAATGAAAGTACAAAGACTGCCACCTGGTGGTGCAAAGAGAAAACTTATTGATATGAACTTTTTAGATCGCTTTAGTACAAATTGTGGATAATAGAAATGCACAATATGTGACTTTTTTAAAAGCAATAATACATTTATGCAGTCATAAACATGTTTTGATAGTTAATATGCCGGTGATTTGATGCTTCACAAAAGTTGCAGACACCTTTACCAATATGAAAATGCTTTTGTAAACAACCAGTTATTCTTTACACCAATTAAAAAACGGCTACTATAGTAAAGAAAATATTTTCTAAATGTAGAACTAAATACATTGATTTGCATTGAATGATGAATACACTTGACACATGAACGTGGAAAGCCTGCAGCTCACAACAAATGTGGAAGGTTATTGCGTGTCATATTTAACAAGCCGTTTACTGCTAATTTGATGTAATTTTGCTCACATGGATAATTGAATATTAATCAGATGATGTCATTACGCTGCTGTGCCGTCAGCCAATCGTTGCATTGCTGATCATGATTTCGAGGATCGATAGATCTGTCCTTCACAACACACGCAGCGATCTCAGATCAGTTTATCCAGACATTCTAATCTGATTCGCGAACTCGTTTGAAGAACCAAATTAGCGAGAGATCAGTTATCAAGATTAAAAGATCCGGGATCTGCCAAATAATCTTAGATAATTTAAGCGAGGTACGAAGAACGGACCCCAAGTGTGCCGCAAGCCTACGTTTGAGTGAAGGTTTCGGCCGTTAGATCGCCCCCTGGGGGCTGGCTGCAGTACAAGTCATAAAGCCCGCCTCCTCCGTGTTAATGAAGGAGACTTGAGCCCAAATAAAAAAAAATATTACACTTGCAATAAAATGTCCCGAAAGATAGTTCTGGTCGATTAAGGCACTGGTTATTGTGCTGAAATAGGTGCAGATCTTCATTTTTGTAAACAGTTTGTTTTTAGCAGTAATTTAATGCTGGGCGTGTCATCGTGATTGACAGCTGTGATTGACAGTTTCTCAAAGCGCGGCGTCTGAGCTTCGGCAGGAGACTGAAGTAGACTGAAATGTTATTATTCGATTTCTGTGTTATTTTACGATGACAAAATGAGTTCAGCAGTAAACTACAGTTTCTGACATACCTGGTGGAACACTGTTTATTCGCTAAGTTCAGGGCTTTTTTCGGGCTTTATTAGTCTGCTGATACACGCCTAGCCACCCAGATAACAAAACAGTTCCGGCTAGATTCTCGCCTGCCGGAGACATATCTCTTAGAGCTCAGACTGACTAATGTTACCTCTGCTGGACCTACTCCGGATGCCTGGACTCACTGCCCGATTCCAGTCCGAGTCAATCGAGCCACATGCGGCGGCCGAGCGAGCAGGCGCTGCCGCATGCGAGCCGGAATCAGCCCGCGACGCCGCGAGTAAGTTATGCGCTGCGGCCTGGAGCTGGCGCGATTGAATATATAAAACCCTCATATTTGTTAACGTTATTACATTTGTTTGTGTTGATATGACAGCAAACGCATGCTGAGAAGTTCGGGGGGCGTAGTTGATTTTACATAAAGCGTTTGATTGGAAGCTCGACTCTGCTCATTTTCGCGGCTCCTCCTCTGGCTCCATCAGACAATCCTTCTGCGCATGTCTGGCTCCAATTTCAGCAGTCTTTTGCGACAGTTTGTGCCCGTCAAGCAGGCGTTTTGCCCTCAAGGCGTTCAATGGGAAAAAGGGCTGTCGCGTCGTCCATATTTTTTACAGTCATTGGCACAGACGTGTTGTTCAGCCACTGAAATCTCCCGGTGAAAGATTGATGTGATTATTTTCATATTCATAAGGTCCTTTTACAGCATTGATAAAGTGTGTGTGTGTATATATATATATATATATATATATATATATATATATATATATATATATATATATATATATATATATATATATATATTATTATTATTATTTTATGTAACATCATAGAAATGCAAGAGTGTACATGAGTTTTACAGAGGAGCAAAGAATTAAATAAGCACACAAAAGAGAAAAGAAAACAACAATAAAAAGAAAAACTAATAATATTTACTTATGTGTTAAGGAAATTAAAAAAGGAAAATAAGTTAACCGTTCTATTGGCTTTAAGATTTTTAAAGGATGCAATAGTTCTAATGTACTATTGAATTTCCTTTTCAAAAATAATAAAACAAGGTATACGCTGAGAGAATTTATAGTGGTGTATATGAAATTTAGCAAGGATTAAAAGGAGATGAATAATGAAATATTCCTTACTTTTATCATCAGGAGCTTTAAAAAACCCAGCAGGATAAAAAAAAAAAGCATTGTGTATGAGGGCAACTCCAAAAAAATATGGTCAGCAGTTTCATTGGGTATATTACAGAACGAGCAACATGTATCTATATCTGATTTAAATCTTTTAAAAAAAGTCTTGGCAGGGTAAAATCTGTGTAACAGTTTAAATGAAATTTCTCTAATTTTGTTAGTTATTATATATTTTACAGATAATGACCAAACCTTTTTCTATTGAATTTGGTCATATATTTCCATCCAAAAAAAGTCACATATGGAGTTGTTACAATTTCCTTTTGAAAGAGAGACCAGATTTTATAATTACGTGAAGAAGGTTGTGATAAAAAACATATTTTTCCCACCGAAGTTTCCAAGGGGTGCAATAGCACAGACGAAACACTGGATACTCCACCATAGCCTTTAAAAAGCATTATAGGAATTGCATCCATTACAATGGAGAATTCTTTTGGAGTCACCGGGAAACCAAACTTGCATAAAAACTCTTTTTAATTTAAAAGAAAACCTTCTGAATTAAATAACTGAGATACAGTCAAAATATTTTTTTCAAACCAACCATTTAAAAATAAAGATTTGTTTTTATACAGAATGTCCTGATTGTTCCAGATAAAATACGGATGAGGAGAAAATTTGTGTTTGTAAATCAGTGACCATGCAATTAAAGCTTGCTTATGAAAATTTAATATTTTATAAGGGATTCTATCAATCTTATAGTTACAAATCAGTAGAAAAGGGAGACCACCCAGTTTTGAAAAAAAGTAATCGGGGATAAAGTTCCAAATTGAGTTTGGGTTACTTATAAATTGCCTAAGCCAGTTTACTTTGAAAGTATTGTTTAAAGATGAAAAATCAAGAAAATTTAACCCTCCATATTCATACTTGTTCATAATTACAGATTTCTTAACATAATGGATTTTATTTTTCCAGACAAAATTAAACATATTTTTATCCACGCTTTTACAAACTTTATTATCTACATATAAAGAAAGTGCAAGAAAAGTAAGCCTAGATATACCCTCTGCTTTGGTAAGTAACACCCTGCCTCTTAAAGACAAGTCTCTCTCCAACCATGTCTGAAAT